ATATAACTCATTTTAACTCACACTTAGAGTGCAGAGGGGCTCAATTGTCTTGCAAACTGACAAGGAAATGGATATTGGAGGAATGGGCAAAATGGATGTGCTGGACATTCTTCTTTACATTGATAACCATGGACTTTGTACTGCATTTTGTCTTTTTGACCTTGATACTCTTAGATATTTACCAATTGTTTGATCCAGAGTTTGTCACTAATTGTACTAGTGTATATTTGTTTGTTGTATCACTTTTGAGAAGAAAGTTGAAAGGTGTGAGGGATGAAATGTTCCACTGTTTGCTAATTCCTTATTTTCTATATCTTTTACCTCTGTCTCTGTCTACTATTTTGGTGATGGCTGCTAGCACAAGATCTGGGCAGAACAAAACTTAGGGGAGTAAGTCCAAGAAGCCTTTAACTAAACATTCCAGGGCTCAAAGGACATTAAACTCTTCCGATGGGCTTACACGAGATGAAGAAATCTTATACAGCCAACTGATGAAGAAGTTGCAAGCATCTGGAAAAGATGCAAATGCTGACAGGCTAGCATGTGAGTCATTTAATATGTATTATGTATCATGTCTATTACATAGTACACTTCCCAGATATTTGTCAGAAAGCAGCTCACATGGTGGAGGCTAAGGATGATGAGGAAGAAGGAGACTTGGATAGGCCTGACATTGATAGCGAAGATGAAGCTCTTCATAAGAGGGCCAAGAATAGCATGGAAGAGGAACTAGAAGATGAAGATGAAGATGCTCTGATGCAGACCTTTAAACGCTTGACAGGCAAGTAACTCAACCTTAGCTATAAGCTTTACTAATGCAGCATCATCAGAAGAAAGCTCACAGCAAGTTACTCCCTCACCTTCATTGACCCAGGAGTTGGACAATCCTTGCTACAAACAAATGGTCTCATCATTGCGTACCGATGTGAGTTTTACCTTTTTTTTTCTAGTTCACTAATCCACATATACAGATACAGATTACTGCATCACCAGCTGAAAGTGTCAGGTTGGTTAACAATAAGTGTAACAGGAATAACAGTAGTTCTCCTTCATTAACACCTTCCAGAAATTCCAAGGTAAGTGTGCAATAAGTTTAAAGATTATGAGGCTTATATTTTACACAGGCTGTCATCACTAGCTTTAGCCCCACCAGCTACAGGCTGGCTAAAGCAGAACATTCTCAAATGTGTGTCATTCTTTCTACTGTGAAAGGCTTCCCAGGTACTGATGAACGAGATGAACTTGTTTGGAATGCAATCATCAAAGTTGCCAGTTCTTCTTCACTATTCAAGATTACCATAGTAGATTTGGAGAATGCAAGGAACGAGCAGAAAAAAGGTAGAATCATTGATTATGTGAGTGAGAACAATGCTTCCAATATTTTTAATCATAAAATTTTAAACAGGTGTGGGCGGCTGCAGCTCAGCTTAGAGGTGAAGTCAAACAAAAGGCTAGGATACTCATTCTCTCAGAATACGCCCTCAAAGACAAGCTATCAGAGGAAGTACATACTATACTGGAGTGGTTGTTGAGTAATGGAAAAGGTGTCTTTACATTTGGTGGTTTAGATGTTTCTGTAAGTGTTCATATGTACTTTTCTTAAATGTTTTATGACTATGTATTTCAGACTTATTCATATGATAAGCAAAAACCTTTTGGACATCAGATACTGTAAGTTATCCATACTGTGTACAATGCACTCAGTAATGTTATATAAATGCTACCATGAAATTAAAATTACTCACCACAATTTCAATAATGGCTTGTGAGTTTTTCTTGATAACTCATCAAGTCTGTGCAAGACAATAACCCAATAAGTGACTACCACCAAGTATTAAATGGGTGAACTTACCTCTGTTTATTCACCAACGGCTCAAGAAAAATAAAAGTGGTTATACATATACCAATAAATCACTGTAATAACAAAAGACATCAGTGGGGATAACTATGACTGATGAGTCCCATATATAAGAATTCTGGACACAAACTATACCTGAAGGTAGACTTGTGATGTGGTGGTTGAATATAGTGGGGGCATTTATAGTGCTTATGCCAATGCAGATGGTGGCTGAGAATAAACAGAGCTTGTATGAGTGTCATATAAGATAACTGTAAAAAAGAAAACATACATTAAACTAAGATACTCATTGAGTGTTGTGTTAGCTTGACTTTGTTGCAAAAGATGGAGAAAATCCAAGTGAAGCGTCCAAATGTACTGAGCTGTGATGTAACTTGTGACATAACACTAGTGCCACGTATACATCAAGAGCTGACTCTGAAAAAAAAATGGCACAAAATCTAATCTAATCATAGGAAGCGTGTCCATTTTCACACACTCAATTATAGTGTTCAACTGCTGGAAAATTTGCTTTGGTGCCACATATTCAAAATCCACCTAAATTCATCCTTGTGCGTCAAGCAAAACACTTCAACTTTGATGTGATGTGAGTGGTGTTCTTTAGTATCTGTACGATGGAATATTTGTGATAAATTTTTATAAAACCATGAGACTAATTTACCTGCATAAAAAACCATTGTATGAATAATAAGAGCATACTCATTACCACCAGAAAAATGTCTCATGGAAAACAACAAGCTATTATAGCTCCTATAGCTGCCATAGCACCTATAGCATCTATTATAGCAATGCCTGGTTGCTGAAATATACAGAAAATATTGGGGATATATGTGATAGATTTTTATTACATAGATAAGCAGGCTAATATATATGCCAAAACATTTAGTGAGTAATAATGGTGTTTTCATCACAATCAGAACAAAGTTCCCATAGATAGAAACAAGCCATTATGGCTACTATAGCAGTTATGATATCTATTATAGAAATGTTTTGACTATTATAGTAATGCTATAGCTGTTATAGAAGCCATAGAAACATGCTTAGCTATATAGCAAAATGGTTTTTCCTGATGTGTTCCCTTCCACGACTTGTCGTTGTGGGGATATACAGAGCAAGCGCAAAAGATTTCTGTCAGTGCTGAGCATGCCAGGTTACAAAAACACACTGCACGTACTGAGCACAATGAAACTGATACTATTATGGGGAACCAATTACAAGGAAAACAACCTTTTCCGCGGGGCCACTTTTTACCTTCTCATCCGCAAAAAGATTCTCATCTTGTGCATATCCGAGAGGACCTGTTTGTGCCTGTGTTGTTGGGAAACACACTACCTAGACAAGACCGGGGCGAGGTAGAGTTTCAGTTGTGGTGTAGAGCAATGTTGATTTTGTTCAAGCCATGGCGGTCACTGTCTGATCTGAAGGATAAAAACAAAACATGGCAATCAGCTTTTGTTCAACATGTATTCAAAGAAAAGTTGCAACAGATTATCTGTAATATCAATGTCAAACATGAGTGCCAAGATGCCTGTGACAAGAATGAAGACAAAAGATGCAATGATCCCTTGTCACAACAAACCTTGCCCTTACAGTCTGAACGGAACACCATGGATAACATTGATGTCTTGCAACTTGCTACTATGCAAGATGAACAAACCATGCATATTGATGGACTGTTTGACTCCCTTGCCGCTCTTGAAAGTATCAGTTTGCCAAGAAAGCAAGATCATAATATCCGCCAGGTTGTTTTTGCTCTTCATGTTGGCAAGCCTTTTGGAGGGATCAATGTCATGTTCACAGGGGATTTTGGTCAGCTGAAGCCCATGAAAGGGACGGCGGTGTTCAGCTATTCCTTAGTAAATCACATATTACCCAACACACACTGAATATGGCCAATCATCACTGCACAGAGCTTTTTTATGGCGGCAATTTAACAAAGTTGTTGAATTGAAGAAGAACTGGTGTGCTGATGGTGATCCTGCATTTGTAAATCTCTTGCACCGCATTCACCTAGGTATTGCCTGGGATGCAAGTAGTCCCTTATCCTATCAACAAAAAGAGTCTGGTTCTAACTACATTGTCTCCAACTTTGACACTCTCAACAGTCGTTGTTTGCAATATCTTTCTGCACACCAGCCTAAAATGTTGTATAATTTCAAGGACACCCCAATAATTGTCTGTGAGAAGGTACTCAGAGATTCAATCAATGATAAGAAGGTATAGAGTTTTGCTTGCTCGACTAACCAAGCTTGCCATGTATATCATTTCAGAGAGCTCATCAAAAAACAACAGCTGCCACAAGGCATGCAAGACTTTGCATGGGACAAAATTGGATCAAGCATCACACACCACACACAACAGCTTAGGCAAATTGCCGTTGGTGCGAGGCATGCGCGTCATGGTTACTGAAAATGTTGCTATTTCCTATAACATTGTCAATGGAGCAGATGGCTTGTTGGAAGACATCACATTTTCAGTGGACAAAAGCAATTGATGCTACACAGAATGTGCTTATGTGAAAATTGATGGCTCTAACTTACAATTGCCTAGCTTGCATACTGACATTGTACCAAATTTGCCCACTCCTACGAGATTCACTTACAATCCTAAACTTTCCAGTACGGATGGCTCTTCAATACCTCTCAAGAGTTGTAATATTGTTTGAACACAACTACCTCTTCTTCTAGCTTATGCTTACACTGATTATAAGGTTCAAGGTTGTTCTCTAAAAAGACCTCTTGAATCTCCACATTGGCCACATACACTTCCCTTTTCCACAACTTCGTGTCCCCAACAACATAACCTTCTGAATGCTGTAGGTAGTGCAACATTCTGTTCCTCCTCCACAAGAATGGCACGTATAGATCCATATCAGCTGGCCACCCACTACTTCCTGCAAAAAACTTGAGAGCAACAGATCCGGACACAACACTTTTGAACTGCTGCAAGATAGCAAGAAATAGGTGGGGATAGCACACAAACTGCCTCAGGATCTTAAACAAATGATGCCTAAGGTGTGTGTTCACAATACAATAATTGGTGCGAGAGAGTCCTCCATATAACATGGCATCTGCAACAGACAACAAAGCCAATACACGTTCAACAAGCCCCGGCGCACAAGACGCCACAAGGCGCCCATCACATGAACTGTGTCGCAATGGGTTTGCGTCTAATTCATGGGCGGTGGCTTGTTTGATGGATGACATCTCTCACTTCTTTTGTTTTTTAAATCACAACGGCATATTTCAAATGACTATCCATCCCTCTCTTTTCTTCCCTTGTCTCCTCAACTTCTTCCCAACACATCTATCCTCTCATTACCGCACTCCAATGTCTTTTATTTAAGGTATACTCTTCTTACAATTGTCTTTCTGCTGTTCACAACTTCACATCTTTGCAGATAGCAACAACAATGTTCTAGTAAAAAACTGGCCTCACCAACTCACTGAGACACTTGCAAAAGCCATTGAGCCTGAACCACACGACTCAGTTTTGGTACCTATCACCTACCATGAAGTCTGTGAGTGGGCATATGTACCCAAAAATCCTTCGTCATCAGATTGCAATCATGCGCACCTCTTGCTCTATAAAAATCCTCAGAATGGAATCAACAATAACACATTATACCCTGTCTGCATTCAAATTCAAGGTATCCTGGAGAAAAGCTTGTTGTCAGTGCTTGGTTCTTGGGACGGGTATGATACAATACTAAGCACACTCTCACTAATTAATGTCATACTTTGCAGCACTTTGCATTTTGCACCATCTGCTACACAGAATATTACATTGGGTAGTGGACCCTTCAAAGATCAATGGGAATCCTTGTTGCTGGCTATAAGCAACTTGCATCAACTAGTACATATCAGCTTGGATGAGAATGGCTACAAAGAGCCTCCTATCACTGCTATGTGCAGCTTGTACATGCAACGCCGAGTGTTTTCTAAGGTGTGTCACTCTACTTACTGAATATGCCTCCTTTTCTGACGGTGTTCTAGATAACGGCCACTAATTGCGAAGTGTCATCAGCCCTACACACAACAGATGATCCTTCCCATAAAGCAGATTTTGTAAATGATAAGTGGCGTGTGCTGCAAAAAATCACCCTTGCACGCAAAGATTCACAAGGAAAAGTAGTGCCCTGCTCACACACTTTATTTTGGAAGGGGGATTTTGTAGATGTTGGTGTATCCCTTGACATTAGTGTTGAGCCATACAGGCAAGTGTTCTATTCGTGCCCACTTGAACCTCAAACATGTCTTGCAACTTGCTCCTTCTGCTACTTTGCGTGTGGTTGAGTGTTATCTCCTTCTGCATACACCACTTTGTAATAATTTGTTATCAAGCTTGGCATAAAGTCCGACTCCAAGGAACGCCAATTGCCAGCCAACACCTCCAATACTTTATCAATTGCTGTACAATCTTTGGCCTTGGATACTGAATGAAATTTTTTTATTTGTAAATACACTCAATATTTATTTTTGTCCAACTTTCTTGTCTCCTATCAACATTTCAAATATGTTGTGCCCCTTTTCTTTTCTGGAAATGCAGGCTGCGCTCTGATCTGAACCCTTGACATCTGAGTAGTCTCTACAAACCCATCATTCATCCATCCCCAGCAACAAGTTCTGTCTTATTAACTTTGTTTCCCTCTGCAGCTTCCAAACATCCCTTTTTGCATACCGGAAGTCATCACTCGTCAATCTACAATGCCAGCAACTAAACACAATGCGCCTACCAACTCTCCTGCTCCTGATGAACTCCTGGCCAAAAAAAGTAAAACAAGTGGAGATGTAGATCAGCAGTCATGCTCATAATGTATTGCTACAACATCTGCGGACAGGTGTGCCACCCTTATCAATTTTTCTCCTTTGAAAATGAAAATGACGCAATGTACAACAAGAAAACTCACCGCTCAACAGATTGTACTGAGAAAAGTCACTGTCTCTTTGCACCATGCTGTGATATCAATGTATGATGAGAAACCAATTCAGTGCGTAAACAATGTCTATACCATCCACACTATTTATATACTTTCATTCCAGATGCATCAGAAACTTTGTCAATTACTCCAACTCAGAAAACTACACTTACAGCATTGAACAATTACCTCCCATCAACACTTGGGGAGTGAAGAAGCACAAAAAAGACTGATTGCACTACATGTGCCACCCTAGAAGTAACACACCTCATACAATATGGGTAGTTGGTCGCATCAGCAAGGTCTGGTTCTTTGTGCCTGGGCCAAACAGAGCCCCACACCCTCAAGTAAATGTCGCTATAGAGCTATTTAGCACAACTGCACTTGCTCTTTCTTGTGCTCTTATAGGTTCCTTGCAAGAACCTCAGGAAGGTTAGTTTTCAATGTCTGCATGAAACTTCACATATTCTAATTGTGTTTTGTCTAGATACAGAAGCCAATGATTGGGGTGATATCATGGCCTGGCACCATCAAACTCCTTTGACTGACAAGGAAATTGTCAAACAGTAAATTTCTATAACCTGCTCAACCTCTTGGCTCACAGATGTTTCAGGCTGTCCCCTTCACAGCCTGCTACGATGCTTGTAACTTGTTCGCTGAAAAATGCAACATGGAGGCCTATTCCACTCGCCGTGTGAGCATAAATGATGTAGGCCTCATGGAAGTCTACATCAAACACTACAAACATGACAAAACTGCCAACCATTGGCAAAGTTGAAATGTTTTCCTAGAACTACAACAACTGTCTGCCATCCACTCTTGTTCAGCCAGCATTAATATTTGACAGTGTTTTGCTTTCCATTCCTCTTACGTTTCATTCTTTTGCACACACCTTTCCCTTCTGATATGATTGCAAATACACATTAAATTATATATTGTATATATGACCATGTAACGCACATTCTTCAATATTGAACAGTCCTTCATTTGATGGTGATCCGTTGTCCACACACACCTCCTTTCTTCAATATTGAATGGTCCTTCGCCTGATGCCAATCTGTTGGCCACTCTTCTGTTTGAATGGTCCTTCATTAGATGCTGATCCCTTCCCAACAATTGGGTTTTTCAATATTGAATAGGCCTTTTTCCGATGCCAATCCCTCGGCCTCTCTTATTCAAATATCCTTCATTAGATACCATCTTTACAAATCTTGAAATTTCACTCCTCACTCTTGACCTCCATGCGCTATCAACTCCCCTCCAACCAGGAAGTGCAAGAAGCAACATCTACATGTGATTATGCCATGCATTGGATTACATCAAGGGCATCAACTGTCACTTGAATGGAACCCTTTGTGGAAGGTCAGCTTGCGAGTAAGTCTCTCCAACTTCATACCCTCCAGCAACTGCACATTTCACTGAAATTTCACATCTACACAGCAATTTTGCAAACTCTGAGTCAACATTGACCAACAACAACAACAACAACAGCCTCAATTATTTACCTGTTTCCAACTGAAGCCGGTCATATTGCAAATCCAAAACATGACACGTGAATGTCTTGAAAGAGGCATTCAGGGGATCTCCATGCCTTACTCCCCTGATGATCTTGCCGTGCTACTTAAAATCATTGCCAGGGCAATCTACCATGCATGATTTGGGGTGTTTTTATCATCGTGTCCCTCAACGTGATTGTTCATACTACCAGTTATATGGGTCAATTGCCTCTCCAACTTCACCACAGATCCCAAACAACATTGCCAATTTCTTATTTGCGCATGAAAAAAAAAATATAGAATCAATTTTGCCGCTTTTCATATCACGCTCTTCTAACTCCTCTTCTTTCATGGACGTACACTCAGCCATGGACACTTTTCGTCGTTGTCATAACATTCCTGCAATTACTCACCCATAATTTATTCTCTATCTTCTCACTGCGTACCGCTAATCATGTATCACCCTGATCAGGCACTCAATCATATTTTTGCCGTTCTATTGCCATCACCATGAGGCTTATTCAGCTTCTTCTATCACTCACAACTGATCATTAGCTCTCAATGTATTATGTCGGGTTCCCCCAAAAAAGAACTCGGAAGCTAAGGAGCTATTCTCTTCCAATGGTTAGGTCTCTTTCTTTTTCATTTCACCCCCTAGAGTCCTAGCCCCGGCACGCTCCGAAGGTCCTTTCATCGATCAGGTGACGCTTCTCGCCGAAAAACAAAGACCTTCCCCACCAAACCATGAAATATATTATTTTACAATACTCATTACATGTTCTCTTTCTATTCTGTATCCTAGAGAAAATAATCCGTCACTACAACTGAGTGAATCACATTATTTTCCTTTTCTCTTCACTAGTGCGGCAAACAACAAAGCCCTGGGATTTCAATATTTCAATTCTCAGTCGCCCCCGCATATGGGGAGTTTGACATTTGATACTCGTCATCGCAATGCCAATGGTGACGCCCATTCGATCACAGGCTCTATATCCACAATCCTCTTGGCATGAAGCTCGCGTTGGAGATGATGAAGGATCATTTGTTCAACCACTCTTACAGCAACCATATTGCCCAAAACATTCTCGTGCCCCATTTTCCTATAACTTACTCACCTCTTCAGATGACGATGGCGGTATGGTGAGGTCTCCAAAAGGTCGCACACAAATCACAGAGGGACCTAAACATCGAGATCATTCAACTTCTTCCCTCCGACTCCCTGATTCTACCGACTCAGGTGATATGAATGCTCAGGATTTAACGACACGGAGCTTACTGATAGAAAAATTTCCTATCGTGGTATCATCTCCAGCTCCTGGTATCGAGGCCATAGATGCATTGGTGGATAGCATCAATGGATTCTCGATGCATGATTACCGCCACACAGAATCAAACCATTTTAAGTTTACAATACCCAAACTTCAAACGTCAGCAGGTTCCGGTCCCAGCAGGATGTGCACGAGACTAGTCACAGCGTCTTCTGGACCAAATCAAGTTACTCGCAACAGATACAGTCCTGTTCCCTCTGTTTTTTCTGCGTGTGGTTGCTGTACCGACCAAGTTCCCATGTTGAAATCCACCAATCACGCTGGCCGTACCCCACATAACATAAAACAGATCCCTTGTTCTCCCGACTATCCTCCCCTTCCTTTACAGCAGTCAGTCATTGAAAGGTCTAAAGCTCCATCTATATCCGACATCATTCGTGACTATAATGTTCCGGTCCATATTCGACCACAACTTCGCCCTGTTTCCGCTACATCACCACAATATTCCGCTCACAATCCACTACCACAGAAGTCCGATGCATTATGCGAGTCAGAATACGATCGTGAAGAAGAAATGCTGTCTCGATCATCTATTGACAGTATAGCAGATGAAGTACACCGAACATACATAAACCAAATCAGCTCTTCGCTTACTCCACGGTCTCAAGGTTGTCATGGCCTCCCGCAGTTTTCTATTACGCCTGCAATCTCAAATGTGATCAACCGTTGCTGTTCTGCAGGATGTACTTCGCCGGATCCCGATAATTATTCTCAGTCATTCACGGATACTCATGTGCCTAATTACTTAGACCCGGTCACGATAGGCATCAAACCATCGGTATCCCAGATCATTGCGCAATTCTTACGGTCCAAGCGCCTCACGACGTTACTCAAGCTTACCCGATATCCTCACGCTTCATCAGATAACCCTCTTACTGTCAGCCTCTCCGACATGGGTGATCCCAATGGTTTTCCCCTCGTAATATTTCTTGGGTTGGGGTGCGTCAGGCATATAATGGGTCTCTATGATGAAATGGCGGACTGCTTAGGCCTCCGCCTCATAACCATCGACAGGCAAGTCGGCTTTGTGTGATCATTTGTTCAATCCTGACATGGTGTCTCACAGGTGGGGTTTAGGCCGCACTGATACACCGCACCCAATGCATGCGGGAGGCATCTTAGAGTGGGCTCTGGTAGTGGAAGAAGTCCTCGATCATTTAAATATCGATCAATGTAGCGTCATGGCGCATTCGGCGGGAGCACCTTACGCTCTATCATTTGCAAATAGGGTCCCAGATCGAATTAGAGGCGATATATGTCTGTTAGCGCCTTGGATAGGAGGTAATGAAAATGGTAACGCGCCAGTACAACAATGATCTCTTACCTGCTGATGAACCTCACACAGGGTGTTATAAGTGGCTGAAGTATATCCCAAATGGGATATTGAGGACAGTCCAAGCAGCTGACTGGAAGATTCAGGCATGGATGCTAGGAAAGCCTCCCTCCCTAGCTTACCAAGGAATAGGATACACTGTTGCGTCTTCCAAAACGTTCGGCGTGGAACCTATTTTGTCCGGACAGGCACCCTTGTCTGGGGGGATTAATTGCGATAATAATCACTGTGTCTACCCATCCACTGAAACAGTACGGCGCCCAAGCCTATGTTCTAGCTCTTTCGGGGAGTATGACGACTTACACGATTTCAATGGTCACTTCGATAGCCAGGGCTCGCTTGGAACATGGTCTACGTCACTGCATAAGAGTGATTCAGGCATTGTAACAGAAAGACATTCAAAAACAATTCTTAGAAGGCTCAAGTTGAAGGCCGTCTCCACCTCGTTGCCAGCCCAGGCTGAGAAGCCCCCACCATGGAGCTTCAGAAAATTGAAGACGCTGCGATCTGTGGGATCCCTTAAAGGCAAATCATCAACTCCTACCCCCCTTCCGAAAATTGGAGATTTACCGTGTCCTGCACAACTTCAGCGTTCTGTAAGCACGATTAGCATCAATAACCTTGGTCTACACACTACTGCCGAGAAAAGCGATTCTACGATATACAAAGCGAGCAAAGTATTTGATCCTACCTCGCAATCCATTCTACCTCAAAATCGGCCCTCGATAACTACAGGTCGCCTTCCGTCATTTTCTACATCGTCTACTACTTCATCGGATGTTACCACTCGCAGATCGGACTGTCTGCAGGCTGCACTTGGCAATGCTCTCCTTGCAGCTTCACATGCTGAATCTGCCAAAGGAACGCACAGCGATCTTTTGCAAATTTTAAATCGTGATCATAGGCCGTGGGGTTTTTCGTATTCATCGTATCCACACAAAGTTCTCGTGTGGTATGGAGACAAAGACGACAAAATCACCGAGGACGCTGTGAGATGGATGGAACGAACTATGAGCGAGGATAGGTGTCATGTTAAAGTTGTGAAAGGTGCTCACCATGCGCTTATGTACAATAGCTCAGTGGTAGTGGATGTCTTAGAACGTATTAGAGAGTTTTGGTGATAAGTGTAGCAGTAAATAGGTGTAATATACTGTCACTTCATTGGTTTATATGACGCTGTAATTACACAAGAAATGCATACGGTCCGGACCGTATACAATGTGTATGGTCCACCCTGGCTTGTCGGAGCCGCTTGCTGGACTGTTACCTCAGGGACCTCGTTTGTCTCTGTTGTAGATGATATTTTCACATGCGTAGACACTCAGTACGATACAGCAGCACAGCCACTCACATGGCCATAGTAACCTGTTTTTAGACAGAAGAATCTAACTCTCGACGGTCATGTCTCAATGATGCTAGCTGGTAGCATTTCAACATTTAATAGGTTATGAGCCTGGCTTGCACTGGAACCTCACACATTCTGCTAGCTAGTATACATTCATTCAAAATTACTGATTTCTTTCTACATTGGCAGTTATGAAAGGTGACCTCTTCACTAAGGTACATTACACTGCCATGTCACACTTGTTACACCACAAACTTGCAGTAACAAAGACAGACTCAGTCAGTGACAGTAGACAAGAAGAGAGTACTCATATGTCCAAAGTACACCCTGATGTCTGAGGATGCATCCATCCTAGTGTTGCTGCAGCTTTGGTTTGCCACAGCCATTACATCAGGAAAAATGGACATTGATATAATCATGGATAATTACCACAAATATCATGATATTAGAGATAATCAGCAATAACTTGGCTTTTTACCTTCATAAACATTTTATTTAAGTCCCCCAGTAATTTGCTTCAATTATTTCAAATAACAGGTGATGATGTCTAGGTTATAGTGAATGCGACCTAATTTCAAGTGGCTATATCTCATTTGGTGATAATTTGGTGTGCTAACAATTGTAATATTGCAAAAACCAAAGACATAGCATAACCACAATTATCACTACTATGTTATGCATGTCATGAATTACAGTGGTGGTATGAGATTGGCCCATACAGTAACTATGCATCAAAATACTGCTCCCAGATGATTTCCCACTAGCTCAAGCCATGTTTTCTGAACCACTGTTCATGAATACAAAGCAAACTTAGCTGCTATTGAGTGAAGTGTAGAAGCACTCACTATACTTGCATGTAGATGCGGTGCATCATAACATGATATTTTCATGCATTGGCATCAAATATGCCATTGAGAACAAGCATGTGCCCGGAGTAGACATTAGCAAAGTATGATGAGTTGAAGTCCTGTGATTTATTTGAGCCTATTTGCCACTCCAAAATAACAGCATGCACCTGTAATCAATGACATTCAATTAGCAGAGTAAGAAGCCACAAAAGAATACATACCGTAGTAGCAGTCATGGCAACCATGGCTGCTGCCACTTCTGGTTTATCTAGATGGTCATCCAGAGTTGAAACAATGTCTTCACAATGCTTGACTCTGACACAGGATAACCACCAAAATAGACCTCTTTGAGTGTGTCAAGAAGAGCCGGATGCTGGTATGGTTTGCTCCATATGGGTTTTCCCTACCAGAAATTGTGAAAATAATGATGTGAAAAAGCAATAAAACCTATGCCCGCATTACTAACATATATGTATGTGTTACCTTGTAATAATTTTGTGATGTTGCACCCTTTGCTTAATCCATAATTTGAGACTACATGAATCTGGGCCACTTTCTTGATACAGTGACTCCAAAAACCTGTTCCATGTTTATTCTGGATGTTATGCATGAAGCATACCATTAAACAGCTTGAGTATTACACTTAGCTTTGGTGGAATTATAAATAGTACATACCCTTGGCTATATTACAATTACCCCATAGGTCATGTGATTTGGTTCACATGCTATAGAGATATGGTTAATTTAAAACAGCAACACTATGGAAAGGGTATTTGGATATTATCAGTACTTGGTATAGCCTCCTTTTTCCCTAAGCACTGCCTGAATCCTTCTAGGCATGCTTTCAATCTATTTCTGACACTCCTCAACTAGTATCTTCTCTCACTCCACTTGAGTCCTTTCCCACAATTCATGAATCCCATGGGGGGGATTTTCATACCCTGAAAGTCTCCTTTTGAGACAACCCCAGAGATGTTCAATAGGGTTTAGGTCAGGAGACTGTGCAGGCCAAACCATAGTGTTGAATGCTTGCTCACCTAGCCAGTCCTTGACCTTCCTGCAGGTGTGCTTGGGGTCATTATCTTGCTGAAAGATGATGTCAGGAGGATTGAGACCATAATACTCCAGGGTTTGCTGGAACTCATCCTTCAAAATCTGTAGGTAAAGGTCCCTATCCATCCTACCATCAATGTTAATCGCAAATCCAACTCTTTTTCAAGTCATACAGCCCCACATCATTAAGGAACCTCCTCCAAACTTGAGGGTTCCATCTACCAGCTTATCACTAAGCCCTCCCCTCCCTCTTTCTATGCCCATTTGCATCCATCTGACCCTAGGCAATTGATTTTAGTCTCATCAGACCATATTACTCTTTTCCAGTCCTCCAAAGTCCAATTCTTGTAGGCATAGGTAAAATCCAAATGAGCCTTGCATTGCCCAGTAGAGAGAAGGGGGTGTTTGGACTTCACCACAGCCTTTATACCAGATTTCTTCAAATGAGACGAAACAGTATAGGATAAGAGGGGTTGGTTGATGATGCTGGTAAGGGCTTTGGTCACTTCAACAGCATTTTCAGCTTTGCCAGAGGTAATAAGATGTTGGGCATATCAGATATTGGTAGGTGAAAGCTTGGAAAGACAACCTCCAATAGCTTTAGGTAGGGTAGAACACTCTTTGACGCAAAGTTTGTTTATTGTAGAAGGGCTAACACCAGTCTGCTTTGCAATGGCTTCACCAGAGTAGCCAGCATTAAGCAATGAAAGGATAGAGCTTCGTTGAGTAAGAGGGAGGGATCTGACTATGATGGTGGTTGAGAAGCAAGAAGTGTGTGAACTTTTTTAAACTCAGACATACTATTTGTATATATATCTTTGTTTGTACCAGCACATAATGGCAAATATTCAATGTTTTAACTAAGATTCTAGTCATCAGTTCAAAAGTGAAAAACCCCTTCCATAATGTTGCTATTTTACACTAACCATATCTCTATAGCCAAATCACATGACCTATGGGGCAATTCTATAGCCAAGAGTATGTACTATTTATAATTCCACCAAAGCTAAGTGTAATACTCAAGCTGTTTGATGGTATGCTTCATGCATAACGCCCAGAGTAAATATGAAAAGGGTTTTTGGAGTCACTGTATCACCACAGCTTGAGCTAATCCGTCCTTCAGGCTGCGGTATATATGTAGCAGCATATATTCAAAACAAAATCAAAAACAGTGTAAACATACCACCAGTGCCAGTGCACGTACATATTTGTGGTCTCTTTTGAGACATGAATAGATTTCATGCAGGCCATGCAATTTGGCTGATTGCAGAAGAGAGTCACAAGAGGTTTTTGTTTCTGATTAATATCTGGGTAGATCATCTTGAATGCCAGGTACTTGACCATGTCAGCAATGGATTCACAAAGAATGGATTGAACTGATATTTTCTGAGCTGTCAGGTTAACCTTGCTGTCTGTCATCATTGTATCATATACAAGTAGATTTTGGCCATGTTTTTTCAGCATCTTGCCAACCTGTATACACCAGTGCAGCAAAATCCTTCAACTCAGACTTGGACACAGAGTCACTTTCTGCAGCATTTGAGTCTGGGACATGTTTGGTTGATATTTTTTTTGTAGCTCAGCTAGGTTTGATTTTGCACCAAACAAGTTTCTTTTATAAGATAGTTAAAGACATTGGTGTGTCCATAGTGCAAATGCTAGATAGCAAAATAGTCTGCTTACCTCCTGTGCATGGGACTGTGCTCAATGGCCTGCTACTTGAGTGTGCATCTTGCCTGGACTTCTTTGTACACTGGTTTTGGGCTGGGACTTGCATCTGACCGAGGCAGTAGATCAGTAGATTGTTGTTCTGGAATTACTAACAGTGGCACAAAAGGTGTACCACTGTTCTTTTTGACACAATAAGCTTACAGTTCACGTTATGGTTAGAAAGGATATAGACAATATAGCTTGAGTACACACATATGGGGCTTGGTCTGCAAAGATTCCTGTTAGTAAAGACTGGAGCCTATTAAACAGAAGTGTAGTTGTTGCGAACAATGATAAAATATGGTACATATCTCTTGATTTATAATTCTTCTCAGTGTCCCCAAGCCTTGAAGTCAGCCCGGGTTGTTGTCGGTGTCAAAATTGTCACTGTCAGCTTGATACGGTCCCTCATCACCTTGATCTGGGGCAGTTGCTGGTTCATTGTTGCATTCAAGTCCAATGAGGTTCCCACTGGCACTTGTCAGTTGGTAAGCAGCCTTTGGCAATTTGCCACTGGCCCTAGGTACATTCTTGGCCACTTTCTGGCTACTGGGCACTGTGTCTTGATGCATAAGAGTGCCGTAGCACCCTCATGTTGATGTGGCACTGCGAGAAAAGTGAGTCATCATGTTGATAAAATTGACTGCTATTTTTTGTGTGAATACTTTGGTGGCCATACTCCTTCCTCATTGCCGCCACCCAGCTCCTTTTTTTTGCACATAATGTTCAGCTTTGAGGTTACACTGGCAGCTGCTTTGGAGGTAAGTCTTTTATTTTGAATATTAAATCCTATACTAACCTGGAGCTTTTTGTTTTGTAGGTTTTTCCAAAGTACCATTTCAGAGCTGGCTCATTTTTGGCTTGTATGTTGCAATTTTGTCGAGTTCTATACTGGTAAGCAGTCAGTTGGGCCCCTTATTTGATTAGGTCAAATTACTGATCTGCTTTTGATAAGGCATTAGTTTTGGCTTTGTGTGGTGTCCCCTCTGATAGAAGGCAAGTGAACTACATATTGTGTTTGCAGCAATTGATTTTACTAGGTTTTTCAATGTCATCCTTGTTAGCCAGTTTTGCAGCCCTGGCTGCAGCGGATTTTTCTGTGGCTGATACTTTTTTATAGATTTGCCTCTGGATACACCAGCATGTAGCTCAATATATAACTGAACCAACAACTATTTGCCTACTTTCAAGTCAGAATTTGACTTGGATGAAGAGTCACAAAATTTGCAACACTTCCATAGTGACTACTTTGGCACCTACAATGACAACAAGCTTGATTGGTCTTTGGGTCATGCAGAAATCATGATCCCAATAATAGCAGTAGTGCAGATGACTCAGAAGATAGAACATGGGCAGAAATTGGTGATGAGTGGGAGCTACCTGTGGATGATACTTAACAGGATGGTGTAGCATCAACAGAGGATGCCAAATAATCTATACCAGCAATGGCAGATCATGAACTGCTTTGTCAAGCAGAGTCTCAGCTATGACATGGGCTTTTTGTGACAAAATACCCTTTCCACAGTGCAGGAGCTCCTATAGCGCAACATCAGCATGCATATAACTCATATTGTAGCCAATAGCTGGCAGCAAGGATATCTGGGCCCCTTTCAAGTCAGACATTGACTATGAAGTGGCCAAATGGGCCAAGTTACAAGGTGCAGGCTCAACTGCATTTTCAGATTTACTTAGTATTCCTGGGGTATGTGCTTTGTCGCGCTCAAACACGGCTCATGCATTGATAAATGAATAGGTATCAGAACGACTAGGCCTTTTTTTCAAGAATTCATGAGAACTCAATCAAATCATTGATCCAAAACTACCAAAGAGATCTAAATTTGGACGCAAAGAAATTATTGTGGCTGGTGAAGCCTATGATGTTTATTTCTGAGACATCATAGAATGCATCAAAGCACTATATCACGAGCCTGAGTTTGCACCATACCTGGTATATGTACCGGAGCAACATTACATAGATGCTGACAAAACAGAGAGATTATATCCTGATATGCATACTGGGAAATGGTGGTGGACTACTCAGATTTGTGATTTGGTACATCCACAATTCATTGCTGTTGCTAACATAGAGCACAGCAGGAACTGGATAAAAACAACTCAGATGGCACCATTATTCCAGTGTTGTTGTCGTCAGACAAGACACAGCTCACTTTGTTCCGAAATAAAGTGGCATGTTCAATATACTTAATTATAGGGAATATCCCAAAGAATATCCACCACAAACCATCAAAACAAGCTTATATCTTGTTTGGCTATTTGCCTTTCACTTGTCTTAAACACACCACCAATAAAGCTGCACATTGCCGTACTATCATGAATCTGTTCTATGCTTGCATGCATCAAGTAGTTGAGCCATTGGAATCTGCTGGAACTGAAGGGCTTTGCATGGCCAATAGTGATGGAATTAGACGTCAAAACTATCCTATAGTAGCCAGTTATATTGAAGACTATTCAGAACAAGTTCTTGTAACAGGGACAAAAGCAGGTGAATGCCCCAAGTGTGATGTGCCCCATGGTGAACTAGGACAGGATTCTGAGATATATGGCCTGCAAAATCTTGCAAATGTCTTGGAGTCACTAGCGCTAATAGATGGTGACCCCCTTCTCTTCACAAAAGCCTGCCAGGATGCAGGTATAAAGCCTATCCACCATCCATTCTGGGAAAACCTACCATATACCAACATTTTCCAATCTATTACACCAGATATCTTACATCAAGTGTAACAGGGCATAGTCGTGTACATTGTGTCATGGATCAAAGAATCTGTTGGAGACTCAGAAATTGATGCACAATGTCAATGATTGCTCCCAAATTATAATGTCCGCCTCTTTTCCAAAGGAATATATAGTCTTACACGGATAAGTGGTACAAAGCACAATCAAATTTGCCGTATTTTGTTTGCATTTGCAGTTGGATTCCCTCTACCAGATAATTTGGCACCTGCCAGGCTGATACGTGCTGTACGGGCCCTACTTGATTTTGTGTACCTTGCACAATATTGTTGCCACTCAAAGGAGACACCACAACTGCTTGACAAGTCCCTCAGTCAATTTCACGCAAATAAGTCAATTTGTAAAGATTTTGAGCTGCCAAAACAGCATTCATACCAACACTATTCATATATGATCAAGCTCTTGGGTATGACAGGCAACTACAATACAGAATATACCGAGTGGCTGCATATTGACCTTACCAGGGATGCATATTGGGCTACAAATCACAAGGACAAATATAAGCAGATGACAAAGTGGCTCAAAAGACGAGAACAACTTCAATGGCATGATAGCTATGTTTATTGGTGGTGTTACGATACACAAATTTTGGACCCATAAATTTCATTCTCCTCTTTAACTTTCTTCTGTATTTTTCACACACTGTGCCATGTGGCACTTTACATTTTGTTCAAACTCCACCTTCTCGTGCTGCGCTGCCTTCTTCCTTATTTTAGCTACAAGTCTCTCACATAGTGGAGCTGGTCACACAGGCTGTGCCCCATGACATCATCAGCCACTGACTCCATCAACTGTACAGTACATATGTACAAATAACCTGTAGTAATATATATACCCCAATAGATTAAAGAGACTCCTCAGCGAGTCCTCCTGTTGTTTACCCACAACAAACTCGGTCCTATCCAAAGGGTAACCACTTCTCTCACTTCTTTATAGCTTTGTCTGAGTTGTGTGCCAGAGTATACAAACTCTTGGTTGTAACAGGTGGTAGTTGGATTTTTGGGCATAGGTTGAAAAAGGAAATTAAAAAGGGTTGAATCCATGCCTCTAAGCTTCCTAGGAGCTGAGGGATTCTTAGAATAAAAATTCCCAAACAGCATTGTGGGAATTGTCCAGCTTCTGGTTTCCATGTTCTCTCCTTGTCTCCATAGCCCTTCTATAGGACCAGGAACTCTAATTTTCCACACTTCAAGTGTGCATCCACTACTTGTTCCACTTCAAACTCTTCTTCACCTTCCTGGGTGACTAACTGGTCTGGGCCGGTCTACACGCTGTCCCAGCAGCAGCCCTTTGTAGGGTTTCACACGGCTAATATTGACCAGGGGTACTACCCTCAATTGTTTTGGGGTTCCAGCTCCACTACGTTGGGTTTGACTTCCTTACTCTGATAAGGCTCAATCCACTTTATGGTCAGTTTTCTAGACTGCCAATCTTTTCATTTAAAGTGGTTGGTATCTAACCAGACCAGGTCACCGACCTTGTAGTCAGGGGCCTTAGAGCGTCTACACTCTGCCCTGTCTGTCATCTGTTCTGCAGCTTTGAATAACACCTTGCAAGACAGACTTTATGTCTTTGACCATGTTCCCAGCAGCCTTGTTCTTGCTTTTTCCAGGTTCAACACCCATTCTGGGGAGGTACAACCTTGTAACCTCGAATGGTGCTTTCCCTGTAGCCAATAACTGTTTGATATTGTACAAGAACTGGGCTATCTTTAGCCACTTGGCCCAATCCATCTGCCTGTCATTAACAAATATATGGAGGTATTGCTTCAATTCCTGATTGAGCCTCTTTGTTTGTCCATCTGTTTGCAGATGAAACACCCTGATAATTTAGATTTGATGTGCAGCATCCGGCAAAGCTCCTTTGTAAATTTGCTAGCAAATTGAGGTCCCTTATCAGAGATAACTGTCTCCGGCAACCCATGGATAGACTATACAAAGTCTCTAAATAAGTCCGCTGTACCTGTGGCTGTAGAAGTTTTATTGATGGGAATAAACACCACTTCTTTGGAGAAGCGATCTACAGCCAACATTACTGAGCTGTACCCCTTTAACTCAGGCAGATCTGCCGCAAAATCAACCAATATATCTTGCCAATGGCCAGTTGGTATCAAATTTGGCATTAGTTTACCGGCTGGCGGTTGATGCGAGTTCTTTGCCATGGCACATCTTAGACAGGATTTTATGTATTCCTGTATATCTTTGACCATGTCAGGCCACATAGTTCCTGGAGATCAACTCCATGGTTCATTGCCACCCAGGGGGCCTAGCTGCTGGTGTGTCATGTTGTCTGTCTATTGCCTTGATCCTTGCGGGCTCAGGCACATAGATCTTATCTTTGTAATGGAAGAGCCTATCTTCCCATAAATAATTTTCATTGCCGTCAAGGCACACCTTCTCTTCTGATGAGATGTCTTTCTTGAAAACTTCTAGAGAATTGTGATCCTGCCTGATTTGAACATTGGCAACCCTGGATTGATCTATCAGGGTAACACCTTTGTTATTATATTTAATAGTATTGGCATGATCCTCTCTTCTCAAGAAAGTGTCTGCTTTTCCCATAGAAGTCCCAGGCTTATGAATTAACTTATAGTTAAACCTAGATAAGTACACCGCATAGCAGGTCTGTCTCTGGTTCAAGTCCCAAGCTGTCATAAAATATTCCAGATTTTTATGATCAGTCCAGATTTTGAATTGGTGCCTAGCACCTTCTAAGTAGTGCTGCCAGTGCTCTAGAGCTCTAATGATGGCCAGCATCTCTTTGTTGTAAATTTGATAGTTGCGCTCTGTAGGCAACAAACTATGCAATAAATAGGCACAAGGCCTCCAGAGATCATCAGGGCATTTAATTGATAGAACAGCCCCAGTAGCAAAATCAGAAGAGTCGGTTTCTAGCCGGAACTCTTCATTAAATTCTTGAAATGCTAATATGGGCGCTGTTGTAAATGTCTGTATAAGCTTATCAAAAGCTTTTTGTTTTTTGGTGCCCCAATGCCAAACAATGTCCTTAGTGAGATTATTCAACAGTCTTGTTATCTTCGCAAAGTTTTCAACAAACCTTCAGTAGAAGTTGCCTAAGTCAAGGAAGGCCCTAACTCCTTTTACACGAGTAGGTTCTGGCCAATCCAATATAGCTTGAACTTTCTCAGGGTTCATCCTGATTCCATCCTGTCCTATTATCATACCAAGGAAGTCTACTTCTTTTACTTTAAAATTACATTTTTTGGGTTTGGCAAATAGGTCCCATTCCTGTAAGCGTCAAAGAACTTCTTGCATAATTTTGTCATGCTTAGCCTCATTGTCCAACTTTGTAAATATTAGCAAATCATCAATGTAAATGATGACACAGTTTTTCATATCCGCAAAGATCTTGTTCATCATGCTCTGGAAGGTTACCAGTGAATTGGTCAACCCAAAGAGCATGAAAAGGGGCTTAAAGAATCCTCAGTGGCACGTGAACACGGCCTTCCAAACATTTTTTTCTTTGATGCATACATTATTGTACTCCCATCTGAGGTCCATCTTTGTTAAGATCTTGGCACCAGCCAATTTGTCTACTACCTGACTGATCAAAGACAGCGGATACACATTTTGAACTATGTATTCATTTAAATAATGATAGTCCATAATCATTTGCTTCTTGCCATCCTTTTTAGGAATGAAGAACACCGGAGACATCAGGAAAAATGGGGTGAAAAATGGGGTAGCTATATAGAGCTCTATAGCACTATAAGTACTCATAAAGCTGTTATAGTGGTCAAACCTGTTATAGAACCTCTGCCATCTATAGAGCCTCATATAGCTCTGTAAATGCTCTCATAGATGTTGGAAATTGTTGTGTGGCTGATAAAAAAAAATTAACACAGACAGGATTTGAACTCTCAATCTGCTAGTCAGCTTTTGGGTGACTGATATCACATTTATCCACTACACCATGAGAGCTTATAAAATGTATTATACAGGTGTTGTATATTGACCTTTTATGGACTTAGTTATTTTTTTACTCATTGTCACCACTTATATTTGGATAAATCATTGTTCC